TATAAAAATATATATAAATCCTTAAGCCTTTTCTGAAGGCCGAGAAAGCCCTTCTCTCAATTCCTTGGTCAAGGAAGATGACTAAACCAGTGCTCTCAAAGAGACACTTCTGTCTCCTTTGTGTAACTACAGTTTGTGTCCACTAGATGACACAGTATACAAAGGAATGTGTTAGTAAAGAAAGATCAGAATGTAATTCTAATGCAGCATAGAACTTTTTTCAAGAGAATACGTGTTTTATAAGTCGGCCCATAATGTGTAACTCTCAGGTTAGAATTCAGTGCATTTTCATGGAAGGTTATTGAGTCAGGGAGAGCGTTATTTTATGGCATGCATGGTAAAATACTCTGTGAAGACAAGAGCTTCATGGAAAAGGGTTCAGTGTTTTACAAAGCAGGTATGAGAGAAGTATTCACAGACATCATAGCAGACATAGTCCTTATTTGGGAGACAGAACTGATACCACATTGTGATACCACAGTAGATCTATTTTACTTGTTTGGTTTTTATGATGTAGTAGAACTAATATAGATGCTGTTTCCCTTTGCTCTGACTTTCCCCTTGTATTTATTGTTCTATTTCTCATTCATACTTTATAGACATTATTTGATCTACAGGTGAGAGGAAAGAAAATGGAATAAGGGGAGGGAGAGAGACATAAGCACCACAGGAGGCTGGTGAGAGGACGACTCAAAATAATGGCTGAAATAGAGTAAATGGAAGGGTATCAAACACATGGAAACCATGTGTTTGATACACTCTTAGAAAAAAGGTGCTATCTAGAACCTAAAAGTGTTCTTCCGCTGTCCCCATAGTAGAACCCTTTGAAGAACTAGTTTTAGTTCCAGGTAAAAACCTGTTTGGTTCCAGTTAGAACCCTTTCCACAGAGAGTCCTACATGGAACCAAAAAGGTTCTACCAGGAACCAAAAAGGTTTCTCCTATTGGGATAGCTGAAGAACACTTTTAGAACAATTTTTTCTAAGAGTGTACCATTCCATTTATTCTGTTCCAGCCATTACAATGAGCCTATCCTCCTCAATCAAGGTGTCACAATCACCTGTCTGCCACCCCTAGGATAGTAGTCAGAGAGGCCCCACTGCCCATCTCCGGCATTGAGGCAGGCATATGCGGCCCTGATGGCATCAAAGTGTTTGTGGGCTCTGAGTACTATGAGATCCCCAGGCTCCTGGCTTTCAGCAGGATCCGCCCAGAGCCTAACAAAATCACCCCAGACATGATGGGCTGTGCGGAATAGGAGACAGTGTGTGTGCGATCTCTGTCAGATGAATAACAACTGTGATCATCTGTACTCAATGGACAACATGGTGTCTTATTAGAAAATTAGCCAAACCTGCTGTCAAAACATATAATCACATTACCTCAAACACCACAACACACAAGTCACTCGAACAATGTTTTTTTAAAGGTTCAAATAATACACTATATGACCAATAGTATGTGGAGTTTAATCTAGCTCCATCAAAGATACTGGTAACTAACCCAAGATTTATCATCGGCATTGTTTCCAATGGGAGTAAATTAAGCACAGTGAGCAGAACAAGCAAGGAGGTGGGCAGAGCCAAGCACATGCCTGCGAGATCCTAATGGCTTGTTATAGCATGTATTTGCATATATCCTTTAGGGAACGTCTACTCTGAAGTGCGAGTGTGCAATAACTCAATTCACCCTTGCACTCCTAAACAATGCCATTTAAAAAAACTTTGTCAAAGAATGAAGTCTACAGAACTTAGTGCATTCAGTCCGTAACAGACTATGACCAAAAGTATCTGGACACCTGCTCGCAGAACATCTAATTCCAAAATCATGGGCATTAATATGGAGTTGGTGCCCCCTTTGCTGCTATAACAGCCTCCACTAGATGTTGGAACATTGCTGCGGGGACTTGCTTCCATTCAGCCACAAAACCATTAGTGAGGTCGGGCACTGACGTTGGGCGATTAGGCCTGGGTCGCAGTCGGGGTTCCAATTCCTCCCAAAGGTGTTAGATGTGGTTGAGGTTAGGACTCTGGGCAGGCCGGTCAACTTCTTCCACACCGATCTCAACAAACCATTTCTGTATGGACCTTGCTTTGTGCACGAGGACATTGTCATGCTGAAACAGGAAAGGGCCTTCTGTTGCCACAAAGTTGGAAGCACAGAATCGCCTAGAATGTCATTGCATGCGGTAGCGTTAAGATTTCCCTTCACTGGAACTAAACGGCCTAGCCCAAGCCATGAAAAACAGCCCCGGACCATTATTCCTCCTCCACCAAACTTTACAGTTGGCACTATTCATTGGGGCAGGTAGCGTTCTCCTCAAGAAAATCTGTGACAAGGGGAAAAAAAGTATTGCAAGTAAATGTGATCATGAATTGGTTTATTCAATTTCCTATTACACATTTAAGCATATATTACCAATATAAGCATTTCTTAACCCCTAAAAAGTCTATGCTGTTTGGGGGGGGTACTAAGCTAACATATGGAATTGTTTTAAGATGGTCATAGCATGGATTATTTAGCTATTTGATTTTGAATTTAGGTATCCAAAAAATATATTAAAAAATGATTAGATAAAATATTGAATTTGCCCTTTACTACTATAGCCCATAAAAACGCATTGAATAACACACTCATAAATGGCAAAAAAAGACAGTCCAAAAATAAATCATAAGGAAAAGTTTTGAAGTGTCTGTCCTATATCTAGAAGATCTAAGAAAGCTCAGGAAATATTTTAGTTTTTTTGGACACATATTTAACCCCTTATTTTTGTTGACACAAAACTACCTCCTTACTTCCATTTGTTTCTATGGGTTACCTTCAGACGAGTCCCATGATACTTGTGGGGGTCGTAGAGTAAACCGGAGAACACCATCGTGTTCGTGAGAGTCTCCCCTTTCCATAGAGTGGTACCTGTACTGGTTTCCCTTCAGATACGTCCTGTGTCTTTCCATAGAGGGGTCATAATCCCGTGTAGCTCAGTTGGTAGAGCATGGCATTTGCAACGCCAGGGTTGTGGGTTCGATTCCCACGGGGGGCCAGTATGAAAATGTATGCACTCACTAACTGTAAGTCGCTCTGGATAAGAGCGTCTGCTAAATGACTAAAATGTAAATAATAGTTTGTAGGCCAAACCGTTCGGACGCTACGTGAGAAGGATATCTCACGGTCTGACAAACACCGCTGTAGCTCGGTCATCTTGCACTGCAGATGCGGAAGGCTAACATAGGAGGTTGCAAACCTGGTCTCAGAGCATTTTGTATTATTCTGTACTTAAATCCAAGATACTCCATCTAATATTTGGCATGGTTACATAAGGCAAATGGGTGGGTGTATAATGCAAATGTCTAGTAACCCAAAGGTTGTGAGTACAAATCTTATCTTGGACAACTTCAGCATTTTTTGCTAGTTAGCAACTTTTCAACTACTTACTACCTTTTAGCTACTTTGTAACTACTTAGCATGTTAGCTAACCCTTCCCATAACCCTTACCTTAACCCTTTAAACTAACTCCTAAACTTAACCATAATCTTAACCCTAACCTCTAGCCTAGCTAACATTAGCAAGCTAGCTAACATTAGTGAGTTAGCTAATGTTAGCCACCTAGCTAGAATTCATAACATATCATATGTTTTGCAAATTCGTAACATATTGTACGTTTTGCAATAATACATTAAAACATACCATACCAAACGTAACATATCATACTAAATTTAGTTTCTCGGTTTTATGTACAGAATAATAGGAAATGCTCTGGGACCAGGTTGGCGGATGCGGTGGGATTGAGAAGCAGCCCATGCAAAAAACCTGATAACTCTAGCTTAAACTGACAGATTTTGTATTATGTTACTTAGATTGACGCATGGATGCGTCAATAGACTCTTAAGGATTCCTTAAAGATGCACTCCAGGATGCTATAGCTAAACACAGCAAATTCATAACATACTGTCTTGGATTCGTAACATATGAGGTTGTCACCTCATACAAGTACTTGGGAGTATGGCTAGACGGTACACTGTCCCTCTCTCAGCACATATCCAAGCTGCAGGCTAAGGTTCAATCTAGACATAGTTTCCTCTATCGTAATCGCTCCTATTTCACCCCAGCTGCCAAACTAACCCTGATTCAGATGACCATCCTATGCATGCTAGATTACAGAGACGTAATTTATAGATCGGCAAATGAGGGTGCTCTCGAGCGGCTAGATATTCTTTACCATTCGGCCATCAGATTTGCCACTGGTTGATGCTTATTTATAAAACACTCTTAGGCCTCACTCCCCCCTAGTTGAGATACATACTGCAATCCTCATCCTCCACATACAACACCCATTCTGCCAGTCACATTCTGTTAAATGTCCCCAAAGAACACACATCCCTGGACCGCTCCTCTTTTCAGTTCGCTGCAGCTAGCGACTGGAACGAGCTGCAAAAAACACTCAATATGGACAGTTTTATCTCCATCTCTACATTCAAAGACTCAATCATGGACACTCTTACTGACACTTGTGGCTGCTTCACGTGATGTATTGTTGTCTCTACCTTTTTGCCCTTTGTGCTGTTGTCTGTGCCAAACAATCTTTGTACCATGTTTGTACTGCTACCATGTTGTGCTGCTGCCATGTTGTGTCGCTACCGTGATTTTGACATGTTGTGTTGCTGCCATCCTGTGTTGTTGTCTTAGGTCTCTCTTTATGTAGTGTTGTGCTGTCTCTCTTGTCGTGATGTGTGTTTTGTGCTAAATGTATATTTTTAATCCCAGCCCCCGTCCCCGCAGGAGGCCTTTTGCCTCTTGGTAAGCCGTCATTTTGAATAAGAATTTGTTCTTAATTGACTTGCCTAGTTAAATAAAGGTTAAATAAAAAATTAAAAAAGTGAGCACCACTTTCAAAACAACTGGCTGAAATTATACAAAAGTTTGAGAGTGAATCTTTTATATTCTAATGTAAATATACAGAAAAGGTTCAGAGTGTAATGGGTGTTTCAAATCAGGGTGTAACAATCACAGAGCCTCCACCCCAGAGAGGATGGGATTTTCCTCAGCAGGACCGTCCTTGGTCTCTAAAGCCAGCCGTAGTTGCTGCCAGAAGACCCTAGTGTGCTCCCCAGCTCTGGGCCAGGTCAGGTAGGTGCGTCTCTTCACCAGCTTCCTCATCCGGTGGTAGGGTGACAGCTGGTGGGTAGGGATCTTCTCCAGGAACATCAGAATCAGGACGTCCTTCTGCTCATCAAAGAGCCGGAAGCTGGCCACCTGGATCTCCCGGGAGCACCACTCACTCTCCAGGTAGCGGTGGCTGATCACACAGATGGTCTTGCGGCTTCCGTCGATAATGTTGTCTATGATTGGTTTTCCTGGTTGGAAGTTCCGGTGGTGGAGACACAGCTTCCAGTCCTGCTCTCCCTCCAGCTCTGGCAGCAGCTCCCTCAGGACCCAGGGTTCATCGTGGGCGTTGTAGGAGATGAAGATATGAAAATGTAAATGTAATGAAGGCATCGTACTGACAGCCATGAGGCATGCACTTATTCCTTTGCTTGGTGTCATAGAGGAAAGCCAGGAAGAAGTAAAAGCCGTAAATGACCTGCCATTTCAGGAAGTGGTATGCAAAGGATGCTATCAGGGTGAGGAGGACTAGAGAAGTGGTAGAGATGTAGAAGTAAAGTCATACGTGTACTGTACAGAACTGAAGCTCAAGGTCTGACAGCTTGGTGCCCTTTAGCTCGGCAGGATAGTTGTAGAAAACCGGTAAGTCTGCAGGATATGCACATTGCTTTACCATTACATTTACAGTAAATTACATATTGTAATGCATGTAAATTCACAAAACATGTTACAGTGTTCTTACAGTATGATCTTTTGACAGTATACTCTGATCTACCCTCAGATTTCACAAAAGACCCCATGGTGGTGGCCTTGTGCTGACCGACCAGCAGGAGTGGGCAGTGGTGGAAATGATGAGGGCCAGGAATGACATACAGTTGTCCAAAATAAAGCAGGCCATTAAGGCAAACGATGACAGCTTTGCCAATGACACCTTTGCCAGCCTACCAGCAATCATCCGCCTTTTGAAGAGGCACTGTACCAGGTATCTTTGAAACGCATTTACCTTGTGCCTTTTGAGAGAAACAACGACCGGGTGAAACAACTGCGACCGTCTTAGTGCCTGGACAACGTGGGGAAACAGCTCCATCTATCTTCAGCTATCTCTGAAGGTGTGGTAGGACATAGGCCATCATTTGGATCCAACAACGCTGCACACCTCATTGTGTTTCTCAATTAAATTGAGCAGCCCTGTCAAGGTGAAGGGGTCACCTATGTCATTGTGTGGGACAATGTCAGGTTCCACCATGCAGAGGTGGTTCAGGCATAGTTTCGGGCCCATCACCGATTCGTGGCCCTATACCTCCCCCATACTTTCCTTTCCTCAACGCTATTGAGGAATTTATTTTCAGCATGGTGGAGGAAAGCGTACGATCGTCATCCCCATGAGCATGCCACCCTCCTTCTGGCCATGGATGAGACATGCGACGACATCAATGCAGACCAATATCAAGCTTGGATTCGCCATGCCAAAAGGTTTTTTCTGCGGTGCATGAACAAGGACATTCCTTGTTCGTTGATCGTAGGTTGTCCACTGATGTGGATAGGATTTATGTCCAAATGCTCAAGACAGGCTTGATGCAAATTAATGCGTGCCAAACGTTATTTTTTATTTTCATTTATTTGTTTAATTTAATTTCTTACATTTGATTACAGACAGTACACCTATGTTGCAATTATATAAAAAAAGAGGATGTATTCATTGATCACTCCTTCAATTACTCATTGGATAGATATTACGGAATTGATATATTTTTTGTCAAGTTTGTTTGGTAATGTAAGTGTATTGCCTAATTTGGGTAATGTAAGTGTATTGCCTAATGTGAAAACTGTAATTTACAGTACTGTAGCATATGACTTTCAGCACTTCTAAGGGCGATTTGAAACGCGTATCTTGCATTGTTTGCTAATGGAATAACAGCTATTTAAAACTACTCAATTGAAAATATATCATTATGTTGTGTTTAGGTTATTAAACCAATGTTCCCATTCAGTGGCGGCTCCTGAAAAAATTCTCAGGAGGGGCAATTTTTCTGATGATTTAGGTGACCTACACACATTTAAAAAAAGATATGTCCAGCAACAACATGAAGACAGGGGCAGCATATAAGTCAATACCAGAAGCATTTATTGACTGATCTCAAAAGTGTTGGCTTACCAGGGTTGGTGGAGCCCTCAGTTTCATCTTTGCCTCGCAAAGCTAACTCAAACACTCCGCAAAACTTCACACACTGGATTAGCCGGCTGAGGATGTGGCGGTTCTTGCTAATGTCGTAGTAAATATATTTGTTATAGTGAATATGGAATATGATATGTTGAGTAAAATGTTGTGCTAAGATCTATTTAGGTCAGGAGCTGGTTATAAGTTCTGTTCCTATCCAATAACAATGGACAAAAGGGTCCTATCTTGTCAGCCTTGTCAGCAGGTGGCCAAGGACAACACCCACGCCATAGGCCTCTCAGTTCTTCCAACTCACGAGTTCTTGCTCTGAGGACACACACACACACAAACACACACACACACACATCATCACTGTTAAACACACACACACACACACACACAAATCCCCTCTCTTAGGCTGAACATTTGAAGACAGAGAACCCGACTCAGAGCCAATGCAACAGTGACAGTAGCCTGCAGGGGACCTCGCCCAACTCATCAGGACCAATCAGAAGATCAGAACTACTAGATTGAACCTACTTCATTTATTGCATAAAATGTCTGCACACAATGTTTCGGGGCTCTCTTCAGATAATAATAATAATAATAATAATAATAATAATATGCCATTTAGCAGACGCTTTTATCCAAAGCGACTTACAGTCATGCGTGCATACATTTTTGTGTATGGGTGGTCCCGGGGATCGAACCCACTACCTTGGCGTTACAAGCACCATGCTCTACCAGCTGAGCTACAGAAAGTGGATACTCATGGATGCGCATTGCAATTGTAAAATGTCAACACAATTGGAGACACCACGTCATTTTTGGAGACATGTTATTGACAGTAAACTATTGTAGATGCGACTGCTAACTAAATAAAACATTTTAGCTGGCTAGCTAATCATCTTAGCTAAATGTGGGGCAAACAATTCAGTTATTTACCGTTAATTTGAGGGATTGGGGTGAAAGAAATCGAGTTACATAGTGATACTTTACGATATACTGTATTGACAATATCGCAATATTTTAGCGCTAGTTGGCTGTACCTGCACCAAAACACCATTATTGTTCCTTCATAGCTTGTTCTCAATCTTTTCACATTGGGAGCAAATTTGTTTTCAGCACTTTTATTTCCATGACTGATCAAAACTCGTTCTCATGGCTTTCTGATCCCTCTGCAACAGACATATGGTGCGCAATAAAATCACAGTATCAAATCGCAGTACGTATAGAATCATGAGACTCGCAATGCTGATGCACATATCTTATCGTGAGGTTCCTGGCAATTCCCAGCCCAAGTTCATTTGCCACAACAAATCTCTTCGCTAGCAAACGCGATGTCTTCTCCAAAACGGCAATGTGTCTCCAGCAATGTTTACTTTTTTGACGTTCTATGGCATCTCCACTTTCCAAGCATATATGACCACATGTAATATTTTGGTAAGTGATGCAAATAGTGAACTATGTAGGGCCAGGATGTAAAATATATGTAGCTGCAGCAATTTCTCTTATCTGATATGGTAAGTAATGGGGCTTAATTTATAGCTCCCTAAGAGTTTGACGAACGGGTCCGTGAACGCGATTCCAGATATATTTACCTCTGAATAAACTGCCTTTATTACACCATATCCACATCCAGTAAACTTGTGATTATCAACACTAACCTCATCGTTGTGGCGGCGGACAGCTAGCCTGTATCCCTCGTCATCCAGTTGAGTGAGTGGCAATGTCTTTTTTCGTTCGTACCAATTTTTGGAAAATCCTCGGGTGTAGGACTTTCCGCCTTTAGTAGAAACCTGTTGAATTATTAAATTTGGTCTGGGAGGTCCTAATTGTTTCGTTGCCAATTTATCTTAATTTGTTCGCCGACAAAAAGGAACTTCTTTCAAACAATCCACTCTTTTCTCAGTTACGTTCATGGTTACGTAACGTATGACGAAAGCGCGTAAGTGCAAGCCCACAGACACCCATTGAGATTGTATTGAAGGCTCTGAAATTTGAAAAAAATTGATTTTACATGGGAGTCTATTACAGACTTCTGGGCGATTTTCAACCTGACTGAAATCGCCCCAAAAGGGGGGGGAGCCATTTGAAGCACGACTTTAGCCTGATTCGACATTTAGTGGCAGTGTGGCACTGTGGCAGATCAGACGTATAGATTACAACACTGATAACTACTGTTGCCGTGATATAATTGATTAGAAAAAAAATCCCTTCCTTTTCCCGTTTGGCAGTGCGTCGCCCATATCGCCCTATTGAACAGGCCGCCCCTGTTCCCATTACATTTCACAAACATACAGTACCAATCAAAAGTTTGGACACACCTACTCATTCCAGGGTTTTTCTTTATTTTTACTGTTTTCTACATTGTAGAATAATAGCGAAGACATCAGGACTATGAAATAACACATATGGAATCATGTAGTAACGCAAAAAGTGTTAAACTAATCAAAATATATTTAATATTTGAGATTCTTCAAAGTAGCCACCCTATGCCTTGATGACAGCTTTGCACACTCGTGGCATTCTCTCAACCAGCTTCATGAGGTAGTCACCTGGAATGAATTTCATTTAACAGGTGTGCCTTGTTAAAAAGTGAATTTGTGGAATTTCAGTCCTTTTTAATGCGTTTCAGCCAATCAGCTGTGTTGTGACAAGGTAGGGGTGGTATACAGAAGATAGCCCTATTTGGTAAAAGACCAAGTCCATATTATGGCAAGAACAGCTCAAATAAGCAAAGATAAACGACAGTCCATTACTTTAAGACATGAAGGTCAGTCAATAAGGAACATTTCAAGAACTTTCAAAGTTTCTTCAAGTGCAGTCGCAAATACCCTCAAGCGCTATGATGAAACTGGCTCTCATGAGGACCACCATAGGAAAGGAAGACCCAGAGTTACCTCTGCTGCAGAGGATAAGTTCATTAGAGTTACCAGCCTCAGAAATTGCAGCCCAAATAAATGCTTCAGAGTTCAAGTAACAGACACATCTCAACATCAACTGTTCAGAGAAGACTGCGTGAATCAGGCCTTCATGGTCGAATTGCTGCAAAGAAACCACTACTAAATTACACCAATAAGAAGAAGAGACTTGCTTGGGCCAAGAAACACAAGCAATGGACATTAGACCGGTGGAAATCTGTCCTTTGGTCTGATGAGTCCAAATTTGAGATTTTTGGTTCCAACCTTTGTGTCTTTGTGAGACGCAGAGTAGGTGAACGGATGATCTCTGCATATGTGGTTCCCACCGTGAAGCTTGGAGGAGGAGGTGTGATGGTGTGTGGGTGCTTTGCTGGTGACACTGTCAGTGATTTTTTTAGAATTCAAGGCACACTTAACCAGCATGGCTACCACAGCATTCTGCAGCGATACGCCATCGCATCTGGTTTGCGCTTAGTGGGACTATCATTTGTTTTTCAACAGGACAATGACCCAAAACACACCTCTAGGCTGTGTAAGGGCTAATTAACCAAGGAGAGTGATGGAGTGCTGCATCAAATGACCTGACCTCCACAATCACCCGACCTAACCCAATTGAGATGGTTTGGGATGAGTTGGACCGCAGAGTGAAGGAAAAGCAGCCAACAAGTGCTCAGCATATATGGGAACTCCTTCAATACTGTTGGAAAAGCATTCCTCATGAATGTGGTTGAGAGAATGCCAAGTGTGCAAAGCTGTCATCAAGGCAAAGGGTGGCTACTTTGAAGAATCTAAAATCGAAAGTAAATTTTGATTTGTTTAACACTTTTTTGGTTACTACATGATTCCATATGTGTTATTTCATAGTTTTGATGTCTTCACTATTATTCTGCAATGTAGAAATTAGTAAAAAAAATAAAGAACTTCCCTTGAAGGAGTAGGTGTGTCCAAACTTTTGACTGGTACTGTATATTTTGATTCAATGGTTGTGTGGTGAGAGATGTTTACAATCCAAATTAATTGAATGAAAGACTGGCTGCGTTACAAATGTGACCAGTTTGGAGTTTTGTACTAAGAGTTGTGAAAATTTACCAAATACTTGTGAAAATAGCACCAAAGCAATTAAAACAAACTGTAATAGAGCCCCCCTTAGTAGAACCCCCCCCCCCCCCTCACACACACAAAAGTGGCTGAGGAATTGAGAAAAAAAAGTTATTGAGCAAAAACACCAAAATTTGACTGCCGAATATTAAGGATGCTGATAATATAAGGGAATTTTCCAAGAACTGAGATATTTCCTGGAACTAAGGACATTCTGAACGCAAATTCAAACTGATTCTAACACTGCCACTTTTTTCATTCCAATCTCCCGCTGTTGGTGAAATACAACATGTGTTGATTACTGCTCAACCCACACAAGTACATCCCTGAAACTTCAATGTATCTCTCAATTCCTTGGTCAAGGAAGATGACTAAACCAGTGTTCTCAAAGAGACGCTCCTCTCTCCTTTGTGTAATAACAGGTTGTGTCCACTAGATGACAGAGTATACAAAGGAATGTGTTAGTAAAGAAAGATCAGAATGCAATTTAATGCAGCGTAGAACTTTTCAAGAGGATACCTGTTTAGGCTCACAATTAATAGCCTAACAAAACCAACTGATGAAATTGACACACAGAGTCCCATAAAGATGACAATTATAAGTCGGTCCACAATGTGTAACTCTCATGTTAGAATTGAGTGCATTTTCATGGAAGATTATTGAGTCAGGAAGAAAGTTATTTTATGACACGCATGGTAAGATACTCTGTGAAGACAAGAGCTTCATGGAAAAGTGTTCAGTGTTTCACAAAGCAGGTATGAGAGAAGTATTCACAGACATCATAGACACAGAAGACATCCTACTGGGCACACACTGGTTGAATCAACGTTGTTTCCACGTCATTTCAATGAAATCACATTGAGCCAACGTGGAATAGATGTTGAATTGACGTCTGTGCCCAGTGGGATAATCTGTATTTGTGAAACAAAATTGATTGTGTGATACCACAGTAGATCTACATTGCTTGTACGGTCTTTATGATGTAATAGAACTAATATATATACTGTTTCCCTTTGTGCACTGACTTTCCCCTTGTATTTATTGTTCTATTTCTCATTCATACTTCATAGATTTAATTTGATCCACAGGTGAGAGGAAAGAAAATGGTATAGGGGGAGGGAGAAGGACATAAGGACCATAGGAGGCTGGTGAGAGGACGACTCAAAATAATGGCTGCGATGGAGTGAATGGAAGGGTATCAAACACATGGAAACCATGTGTTTGATGTGTTTGATACACTCTTAGAAAAAAAGCTGCTATCTAAAAGCTAAAAGGATTATTCAGCATGTGCGGCCCTGATGGCACCAAAGGATGTGTGGGCTCTGAGTGGTACCGCTACGAAAGCCCCAGGCTCCTGGCTTTCAGCAGGATCCGCACAGAGCCTAACAAAATCACCCCAGACATGATGGGCTGTGTGGAATAGGAGTCAGTGTGTGTGAGATCCCTGTTCGATGAATGATCATCTGTACTCAATGGACAACATGGTGTCTTACTAGAAAATTACCCAAACTCGCTGTCACAATATATAATTTACATTTACATTTTAGTCATTTAGCAGACGCTCTTGTCCAGAGCGACTTACAGTTAGTGAATGCATACATGTTTTTTTATTTGTAACATAAATTATTTTATAACATTGTACATTTTTATTTTTATTATTTTCATACTGGCCCCCCATGGGAAATGAACCCACATCCCTGCCGGCCAAACCCTCCCCTACCTTGGACGACGCTGGACCAATTGTGCGCTGCCCATGGGTCTCCCGGTCACGGCCGGCTGCGACAGAGCCTGGACTCGAACCAGGATCTCTAGTGGCACAGCTAGACACTGCGATGCAGCGCCTTAGACAACTGCGCCACTCGGGAGTATATCTATAATATAAAATAATATGCCATTTAGCAGACGCTTTTATCCAAAGCGACTTACAGTCATGCGTGCATACATTTTTGTGTATGGGTGGTCCCAGGGATCGAATATCGATATCTAATATATATGTTAACTCAAATGCCACAACACACAAGTCACTCGAACAATGTTTTTTTATAATCATCTGTACTCAATGGACAACACGGTGTCTTACTAGAAAATTACCCAAACTCGCTGTCACAATATATAATCACATGTTAACTCAAATGCCACAACACACAAGTCACTAAAACAATTTTTTTTTAAAGGTTCAAATAATGCTTTATTCTCACATTTTATGCTTACACATTTTTTATAACTGAGATTAATAAAAATATACAAAGAAACTGACAAAGTGTGATTATTGCATTCATTTATAAGATAAATGAGATACTAGAAGAATCGAGTAACACAATTAAGTAAGTAAATCTATGACAAGCAAAAACAAAGTATTGCAAGTAGATGTGATCATGAATTGGCATCTTCAATTTCCTATTACAAATGTAAGCATGTATTACAAATATAAGCATTTCTTACTATTCTCATGTAGATATAAAGAAAAAGATCAGAGCATGATGGTTGTTTCAAATCAGGGTGTCACAATCACAGAGCCTCCACCCCAGAGAGGATGGGATTTTCCTCTTCAGGGCCGTCCTTGGTCTCTAAAGCCAGCCGTAGTTGCTGCCAGAAGACCCCAGTGTGCTCCCCAGCTCTGGGCCAGCTCAGGTAGGTGCGTCTCTTCACCAGCTTCCTCATCCGGTGGTAGGGTGACAGCTGGTGGGGAGGGATCTCCTCCAGGAACACCAGAATCAGGACGTCCTTCTGCTCATCAAAGAGCCGGAAGCTGGCCACCTGGATCTCCCGGGAGCACCACTCACTCTCCAGGTAGCGGCGGCTGATCACACAGATGGTCTTGCGGCTTCCGTAGATGCCGTCCATAATGTTGTCTATGATTGGTTTTGCCTGGCTGGAAGTCCCGGTGGTGGAGACACAGCTTCCAGCCCTGCTCTCCCTCCAGCTCTGGCAGCAGCTCCCTCAGGACCCAGGGTTCATCGTGGGCGTTGTAGGAGATGAAGGCATCGTACTGACAGCCATGAGGCATGTGCTTATTCCTTTGCTTGGTGTCATAGAGGATAGCCAGGAAGAGGTAATAGCCATAAATGACCTGCCATTTCAGGAAGTGGTAGGCAAAGGATGCTATCAGGGTGAGGAGGACCAGACAAGTGGTAGAGATGTAGTAGTAAAGTCCTATGTGTACTGTACAGAACTGAAGCTCAACGTCCAACAGCTTGGTGTCCTTTAGCTCAGCAGGATAGTTGCAGGTAAATTCTCCTGCGCCAACAACTTGTGTTTGGTTGTCACTCTCCATCCACTGGACAAACCAAGTATTGCTGCAGCCACAGGTGAAAGCATTATCTTGCATGTCCAGGTATGTCAAGGCAGGGAGATACCGCAACACTGTCTCATTGACTACTGTTATGTCGTTCTTGCTCACCTGCAAGAAAGTGACTCTACTGAGGTTTGCTCCTATGAGGAAATCTAAGGACTGAAGTCGGGCTTTGGACAGGTATAGTCTGTTGAGCCTTGGGGTTGGGTGAAACAGCTTTGGCATGAGGGCTGTGAACTCATTCTTACTGATATCAAGGTACCACAGCCGGGGTGTGTGAATAAATGTGTCTGGGTGCAGATCCTTAATATTAAGACTCCCTGCCTTGAATGCCAATAAAGATTTCAGACCTTCAAGAAAGTTGATTGGAAGATGAGACAGTCCCTTGTGACGCTGACTATGGATATGCAGGTTCTCCAGAGATGTCAGATGAGAGAAGGGTGGAGGGTTTAGTTTATCATCATTTACATATGTGATGTAATTACAGGATATATCAAGAGTTCTTAAGCGTGGAAGTCCTGAGAGCACAGTCTTTCGAATGTCTATTTGAGGGATCTTATTTGAGTCCAGTTTAAGTTCTATAAGGTTGACCAATCCCTCAAAGGCTCCATCTTCCATACTGGCAATCTGATTGTCAAATAAAAGCAAAGTCTTGAGTGATGCTAAGCCTTTAAACTCTTCTTTTCTGATAGAGCTCAGTTTATTGCCTGCCAAATTCAAAGTCTCAAGTTTGTGCAAACCAGTCATGAAGGCATCATTCAAGGTCAGAATTTTGTTTGATCCCAGTTGAAGGATCCTTAATTCTCTCAAATCCTGGAAAACACATCCTGGAAGGTTGGAGATTTGATTATGGAAAAGAAAGAGCTGTGTGAGTCCTGTAAGATTGGAAGAAATCTGAGCAGCCTAGTTTATAGATGATATTGAAGCTGAGGTCCAGGCTCTTCAGTGTAGGTAGATTTCTTGTGGCCTTTGGCACGGAAGAAAGCCTGTTGTGGCCCAGTTTCAAAGTACTTATCTGCTCTATTGATCTGAATGAAAAGTCAGACAGCTGAATAAGATTAGTATTTGATATGTCCACTTCTGTCATGTGTTTACATGACTGCAGAAATTCCTCAGAGAGAGTGCTTAAGTTGTTACGGTGCAGTCGGAGAACGCTGAGTGTAGGTATATGGCAGGCAATATCAGTGAGAGCCTTGACCCTCTCTTCACTAATGTCATACAGTCTCAGATGGACTAATGAAGAGTTAACAGTCTGCAGCACCATACCAATCCTCTCAAAAGACATCTCAATGCCGCTCAAGTTGAGACGTTTGATGTTGCTCAGAAAAGACCTGTCCGGCACATCCCATTCCATGTGTCCAAGTTGGCCACAGTAGGCGATGTCTAACACCTCAAGATAAGGAAGAACATCTGCCGTGATCCTGAAGATTCCCAATGGATTCCAGGATAAATCCAACATTCTCAGCTCTATAGACGTGTTTGATATGTCTTGTGACTGGAAAGACGTGAATCTGTTGCTCCCAATGTACAACTCCTGTAAGTGTGGCAATTGTACAATTGGCTGAACTTCCTTCATATTATAAAGGTTGTTCTTGGTTAAATTCACTGTCTTCAAACTGGAGAGAACCTGAAATGATGAAGACCCAATGGTTGTGATGAGGTTGCTGTCCAGACGTAGCAGGGAGAGGTTGGCCAGGCACTGAAACAAATGGTCTGACAGGGTTGTGAGTCTGTTATGAGCCAGATTCAGCTCTTGAAGAGCCTCTAGGTGTCCAAGAGCGCCATCGTCCACTTGAGAGATCTGGTTTCTGGACATGTTTAGAATTTTGAGGGTTGATAGGCCTTTAAAATCCAACTTTCTGATTTTGGAAATGTTATTCATGGCCACATCTAAAACGCTTACTTTCAGCGGAATGTTTATAGGTATGACTTCGAGGTTCCTCTTTTCACAGAGTACTTTCATGTTAGAGGGGTCACTGAGATTACCCCGGATTGTGCAGTTTTTCAGGAAGTACCCACATACTGGATCAGCAAGAACCCAGCAATACATCAAGAAACAAAGAAAGACTCTCAGCTGAGAGAATGTAGACCCACTTCGTTTTCCTGGCAAGGTTACCGTGAGTGTCATTGTGAGGGGCTTGACATCTACTTCAGATCTAGAGAGAATAACAAAGACAAATACAGTGACTAACTGTTACATGATTTGGGGGCTGGAAATGTAACATAAATAGACATCTATTGAAATTGCAATAACACTGATAGCTGTTGGTATTGTGGTCCTCAAAATAACTAACAGATTATTAATCATAGGTAATCCAAATTCTCAACATAACTCACAAATAGTTTGTTTTAATGATAAAGACAAACTACATCAGAGAGGAAAAAAGGAGAAGAGCGCTATCAAATTAGAAATGAGTAGATAAGTGTAAAAACAACTCTCTGAATAAGAAAAAACACACATTTGTATAATAGTTTTTAAGAGATAGACTAGCAAAAGACAATTAAAAAAAGCCAGAATATATAGTAATAATTTTTACTCACAATTGTCAGAGGAAGACAGTCACTGTGAGCGCTAGTGCAGCATAGGACTGTGATTACCTGAGTCCCGGTTCGACCATCCTGCTCCAAAGAGCACTTCCCTGGCATTTTACTTCACTATATTAACCCTTTGTTTAAAAAAAATGTTTTGTCTTAGTCTAGGATAGATTTTTGACTTGTACGCACAGATACATCACAAAGTGACAGGGTAGACTCACAGCTGATTAAGTTAAAGGGAGGAGAAGTGTGAGAGAGAGAGAGAGAGAGAGAGAGAGAGAGAGAGAGAGAGAGAGAGAGAGAGAGAGAGAGAGAGAGAGAGAGAGAAGGAGAAAGAGAAAGAGAGAGAGAGAGAAAGAGAGAGGAAATGTGTCATTCTCTGACTTTTTTTGGGAACAGATGATTTACCATAAGTGAAGGAGGAAGCGAGAAGAAAGTTATTGAGCAAACATCCCAAAATTGGACTTCAGAAGAACATTTTGTTGCTGACCCTATAATAAAGGGAACTTAGAATTAAGAAATCATTTCTGAAAACGAAGATAGAAAGGAAATTCTGATCCAAAATTCAAACTGGTACTAGCACTTACACTTTTTTCATTCTGATCTCCTGCTGTTGATGAAATACAAAATGCTTTGATTGCTGCTCACCCAAACAAGTAAATCTCTGAAACATCAAGTTATGCAGTGACGATTTTAGCATGTAAATCTTGGTGGGGCAAACTCAAAAAAATAACTTTGATGCATGCCAGCAAAGCCACTAAACAATACATTAATTGCACTATAACAGTGACAAACGGTGCCCACAAAGTGTTAGGACCTACATAAAGCTGTCCAAACAGCAGAGTCCCAACAGCAGTCCCAACACCTTACCACTGCTACACCTGGCTATTAGCGGAGCCTTGTCTGGCAGCGAAACAGTTCATTCAGCCTCATTTACTGCCTTTTAAAAAAACATAGCTGATATGGCTGATTTGTTTAAACAAATGTGGTTTCTACTGACAATTGAGATGTACAAACTATGGCATAAGGGGACGACGAGCGGATAAGAGGCAATCCGTAATTTCGATTAAGACATTAATGAGCGAGCTAGGACGGACGTAGTCCAAATAACTATTTGTTTAGCAGTTTTGAAATGTACAGCGACAGAATTCCGAACATGGGCCGTTCTTCCAGTATTTTCCCTGTACACCAAGTCAGAACCATAGGATAAATAAAGGGGGCATATGAGCAGACAATGAAAGCTCTTACAATATTCGATGATTGCATTTCTCTAAAACAGGCTATAGGCTACATGTGCACCACCAAGTCAGAACAGTAGGCGAAGTTGGATGACCGTTCAAAACGTATTTTCCCAGTTGGAGCTCGTTTTATTCAGAGTTCCCAGTTGTCTTAAACTCACTGAAGTCAGATTTCCCAGTTCCGAGTTTCCAGTTGTTTTGAGCACGGCAAAAGTCATGCTGGATTGACAGCATGGCCAATGTTGAATGTTTATCCTTTTAAGCTTGGAAAAGAGACCCTTAAACCCAGACTTGGGACCACACACCCACTCCACTGAATAGCAGGCTAGTGATTGCAGTTAGCCATTGATTCCTTCCAAACCAATCATTGTTGAATTTGCGATTTCCAACTTGTTGTGTAATGTTTATGTCCAATGGCCGATGAGCACCGATACGTTTTATCTATAATTTCCCTCCATTATTTCTCTTCATATGACAAGGATTGAAAAGGATTTGCCAGTAGATTGTTGACTTGATTCACAATGATGACTACTAGCTTACACTCCACAGAGCTGGGCTTTACGGAAGAGTGGCCAGAAAAAAAGCAATTTCTTTAAGAAAAAAATAAGCAAACATGTTTGGTGTTCGCCAAAAGACATGTGGGAGACTCCCCAAACATATGGAAGAAGGTACTGGTCAGATGAGACTACAATTGAGCTTTTTGGCCATCAAGGAAAATGCTATGTCTGGCGCAAACCCAACACCTCTCATCACCCCGAGAACACCATCCCCACAGTGAAGCATGGTGGTGGCAGCATCATGCTGTGGGGATGTTCTTCATCGGCAGGGACTGGGAAACTGGTCAGAATTGAAGGAATGATGGATGGCGCTGAATAGTTATGCACGCTCAAGTTTTTGTCTTATTTCTTGTTTGTTTCACAATAAAACATATTTTGCATCTTCAAAGTGGTAGGCATGTTGTGTAAATCAAATGATACAAACCCCCAAAAATCTATTTTAATTCCAGGTTGTAAGGCAACAAAATAGGAAAAAAGCCAAGGCACTGTATAACGTGATTTGACATAATTTTATCTGTGGCCAACGACCTTGTGTGACGAGTACTGAGGATACAAAGAGGCAGGACGCAGACATCAACAATGTTACTTGACACTGAGCAAGAGAACAACAAAGAGCGAGGACATGACACTAACAATCACACACAACACAACACTGAACAGTCCAGGGCTACAGTGGGGAGAACAAGTATTTGATACACTGCCGATTTTGCAGGTTTTCCTACTTACAAAGCATGTAGAGGTCTGTAATTTTTATCATAGGTACACTTCAACTGTGAGAGACGGAATCTAAAACAAAAATCCAGAAAATCACATTGTATGATTTTTAAGTAATTAATTTGCATTTTATTGCATGACATAAGTATTTGATCACCTACCAACCATTAAGAATTCCGGCTCTCACAGACCTGTTAGTTTTTCTTTAAGAAGCCCTCCTGTTCTCCACTCATTACCTGTATTAACTGCACCTGTTTGAACTCGTTACCTGTATAAAAGACACCTGTCCACACACTCAATCAAACAGACTCCAACCTCTCCACAATGGCCAAGACCAGAGAGCTGTGTAAGGACATCAGGGATAAAATTGTAGACCTGCACAAGGCTGGGATGGGCTACAGGACAATAGGCAAGCAGCTTGGTGAGAAGGCAACAACTGTTGGCGCAATTATTAGAAAATTGAAGAAGTTCAAGATGACGGTCAATCACCCTCGGTCTGGGGCTCCATGCAAGATCTCACCTCGTGGGGCATCAATGATCATGAGGAAAGTGAGGGATCAGCCCAGAACTACACGGCAGGACCTGGTCAATGACCTGAAGAGAGCTGGGACCACAGTCTCAAAGTAAACCATTAGTAACACACTACGCCATCATGGATTAAAATCCTGCAGCGCACGCAAGGTCCCCCTGCTCAAGCCAGCGC